ACCCGACGCCCAACCCGACGCCCAACCCGACGCCCAACCCGACGCCCTACCCGACGCCTTACCCGACGGCTTTCCCGACGCCCTACCCGACTCCCTACCCGACTCCTTTCCCGACGGCCTTCCCGACTGTTTACCCGACGGCTTTCCCGACGGCCTTCCCAACGGCCTTCCCGACTGCTTACCCGACGGCCTTCCCGACTCCCTTCCCGACGCCCAGCCCGACGCCGAGCCCGACATATCCTCCAGGTTGGCCGACGCCGCATCCTACATTTCCTGCCGGTTTCGCTCCCCCGGCGGTGGGCGCGGCTGGAGCCGGGGGAGCTGTGGCTGCTACTGGCGATCCGCATTTGCAGAACATCTTTGGTGAGCGGTTCGATTTGATGCAGCCTGGCAAGCACGTTTTGATACAGATTCCACAGGGAGAGCCTGCCGAGAAGACGCTGCTCAATGTAGAGGCCTTGGCACAACAACTGGGGGGACATTGCGCAGACATGTACTTCCAAGAAGTGAATATCACAGGGGCATGGGCGGAGGCGAGGCAGACCGGCGGTCTTCGTTTCCGAGTTCAGAGTGAAGGGATGGGTTGGACAAAATTCGGGGTGTTAGAAATGAAGATTGCCCGTGGGCACACACAGCAGGGCACTCAGTACCTGAATTTCTACGTCAAGCACCTCGATCGTGCTGGGTTCGCCATCGGAGGGCTGCTGGGAGAAGATGATCACACGCAGGCGTCGATGCGTAGTGAAGCTTGCGTTCGGCACTTCTCCCTTTGATGCAAGCCTCGAGGGATGTCCCTTGCCCATGCTGGGCACTGTCAGCAAGGATCGGGCGGCTTGTTTTCGCTTTCCATGTTCGGTCCGCAGAGATCGTGCTGTTAGCTGATGTTTCTGCTCAGTGGAAAAGTTACAAGCCCCCAGAGCTGTCCACCCCCAGCCTCAGCGTCGGTTCTTCCACGCCAAGTTCTGTGGCGGTCCAGGGGCCGCAGATGGTTTTTCAGATATCGGGAATAGCGACAAACAGCATTAAGTCGGGCATGGAATATTCAAAAAGAGTCAAAACGTAGTCTGCGACGATTTGTTCCAACCCTCCGTGGTTGGGCATTCGTTTTGAATAGAGCATTGCTCGCGCGTCCTTCCTTCCTGCCTTCCTTCCTTCCTTCCTTCCTTCCTCCAGCCTCCCGCCTCCTCCCTCCCGCCTCCCGCCCCAACTCCTTCGTGTCTCCACGTGCCTTGCCTGGGGGGCTGCGATCTGCGAAACCGTCGCCACTTTCGAGGGCTGCTGGTGTGTCCAGCGGAGTGAGGCGCCGCGCATATCTGAGCGAGACCTCCCCGTCCTTGGGGGGCTGCGATCTGCGAGACTGTCGCCACTTTCGAGGGCTGCTGGTGAGTCCAGCGGAGTGAGGCAACGCGCGGATCTGAGCGAGACCTCCCCGTCCTTGGGGGGCTGCGATCTGCGGGACGGTCGCCACTTTCGATGGCTGCTGGTGGGTCCAGCGGGGTGAGGCACTGCGCGGATCTGAGCGAGACCTCCCTTCCATGGGGGGCTGCGATCTGCGAGACCACTTTCGAGGGCTGCTGGTGGGTCCAGCGGAGTGAGGCGCCGCGCGGATATGAGCGAGACCGCGCCGTCCCTTAGGGGGGGGCTGCGATCTGCGAAACCGTCGCCACTTTCGAGGGCTGCTGGTGGGTCCAGCGGAGTGAGGCACCGCGCATATCTGAGCGAGACCTCCCCGTCCTTGGGGGGCTGCGATCTGCGAGGTTGTCGCCACTTGCGAGGGCTGCTTGTGGGTCCAGCGGAGTGGGGCGCCGCGCAGATCTGAGCGAGACCTCGCCGTCCTTGGGGGGCTGAGATCTGCGAAATTGTCGCCACGTTCGAGGGTTGCTGGTGGGCCCAGCGGAGTGAGGCACCGCGCGGATCTGATCGAGACCTCCCCGTCCCTGGGGGCCTGCGATCTGCGAAACTCTGGGCTGCCGGTTGGCCCAGCGGAGTGAGGCAATGCGCAGATCCGAGCGAGACTTCCCCGTCCCTGGGGGGCTGCGATCTGCGAGACTGTCGCCACTTTCGAGGGCTGCTGGTGGGTCCAGCGGAGTGAGGCACCGCGCGGATCCGAGCCAGACCTCCCCGTCCTTGGGGGGCTGCGATCTGCGAGATTGTCGCCACGTTCGAGGGCTGCTGGTGGGTCCAGTGGAGTGAGGCACCATCTGAGCGAGACCTCCCCGTCCTTGGGGGGCTGCGATCTGCGAGACTGTCGCCACGTTCGAGGGCTGCTGGTGGGTCCAGCGGAGTGAGGCACCGCGCGGATCCGAGCTAGACCTCGCCGTCCTTGGGGGGCTGCGATCTGCGAGACTGTCGCCACGTTCGAGGGCTGCTGGTGGGTCCAGCGGAGTGATGCACCGCGCGGATCTGAGCGAGATCTCCGCGCTTTTGGGGGGCTGCGACCTGGAAATTGTCACCACGTTCGAGGGTTGCTGGTCATATTCTAGGCCTGCTGATGGGTCTAGCGGAGTGGGGCACCGCGCATATCTGAGCGAGATTTCCCCGTCCTTGGGGGGCTGCGATCTGCGAAACCGTCGCCACTTTCGAGGGCTGCTGGTGGCAGCCGCCTCGGCCCGAACAGCTGCCAGCGTCTGCTGCGCGGCCGTCTCCTCGGCCTCGGCCTGCGCGGCCAGCGCTTGCAAGTCCGCCGCGGCGAGCGCCGCCTGCTCGGCCACCTCCTGGGCGTCGGCGGCGGCCCGGCGCGCCTTCAGGGCCGCGTCGGAGCGGCTGCGCAGGGTGTCCACCGCCGACTGGAGCCTGCGCTCGAGCGGCCGGGCGGTACGCTCCGCCTCCACCAGCGCCGTCTCCTCCGCCTCGTACTGCGCCAGGTGCCCGGCGAACTCCGGGAAGGCCCTCAGCGCGGCAATGCGAGCGCGCACAGCGGTCAGGCGCTCCCCGGTCGCCGGCTCGGCCATCGTGGCATCGGCGGTCTCCGCAGCCGCAGCCGCAGCCGCAGGCACCGCCTCCGCGGCAGGGCGGGACGCCGCGTCGCCCTGCTGCCCAGCCGCCTGCCGTGCCCAGGGCGCCCTCGTGGCCGGCCTGGGCGCCCGGCCCTCCCGCATAACCGACACGGAGGGCACGTCCGACCGGGGCGCACGACGACCGCAGCCCCGGCAGGCCGCGCGGCACGCCCAGTTGTCGGCCACCCCGCATGGGCAGCTCCACATTGGTTGCCGTGGGCCGGCCAGCCGCTTGGCAACGTCCCCATCCCGAGCACCCGCCCCACCGCGCGGCTGCTGCTGCTGCTGCCGCTCCGGCGGCCGCCGCTGCCGCCTGCTCGAACCATCCCCAGCAGCCGCACCCGCCGCCCCGGCGCCGAGCAGCGTCCGCAGCGCCGCCAGCGTCTCCCGGTCGGAGCGGCATGGCCCCCCGCCCGGAGCCTGCTGCCCGCGCGCGTGGCGGGGGGGCATCTGGCGGCTGTGATGTTGCTGCAGCAGGCCGGCCGCCTGGCCAAGCCGCACCAGCACGCGCGCCTGACCGCGCGCCCGCCGCTGCCGCCGGTGCCCTGCTGGGCTGCCTGTGCGTGGCTCGCGGGCCGCCGTCGCGGCCTCGCCTGGGCCCAGCCCCGGCCCCCAATCGCAGCGGACGCGCCCCCGCGCGCGCGCGCTGGCTGAGAGGACCTGAGCCGAACCTTGAGCCAAAATGGCTACGGAGGAGTGAGGCACCGCACAGATTTGAGCTAGACCTCGGCGTCCTTGGGGGGGTTGCGATCTGCCAAACTGTCGCCACTTTCGATGGCTGCCGGTGGGTCCAGCGGAGTGAGGCGCCGCGCAGATCTGAGCGAGACCTCGCCGTCCTTGGGGGGCTGAGATCTGCGAAATTGTCGCCACGTTCGAGGGTTGCTGGTAGGTCCAGCGGGGTGAGGCACCGCGCAGATCTGAGCGAGACCTCGCCGTCCCTGGCGGACTGCGATCTGCGAAACGGTTACCACGTTCGAGGGCTGTTGGCGGGTCCAGCGGAGTGGGGCACCGCGCAGATCTGAGCGAGACCTCGCCGTCACTGTCACCACTACCGAGGGCTGCTGGTGGGCCCAGCGGAGTGAGGCACCGCGCAGATCTGAGAAAGACCCCCCCGTCATTGGGGGCGCTGCGATCTGCGAAACCGTCGCCACTTTCGAAGGCTGCTGGCGGGTCCAGCGGAGTGAGGCATCGCGCAGATCTGAGCGAGACGTCGTCGTCATTAGGGGCGCCGTGATCTGGGAAACTGTCGCCACTTTCGAGGGCTGCTGGTGGATCCAGCGGAGTGAGGCACCGCGTAGATCTGAGCGAGACCTCGCCGTCCTTGGGGGGGGTGCGATCTGCAAAATTGTCGCAACTTTCGAAGGCTGCCGGTGGATCCAGCGGAGTGAGGCACCGCGCAGATCTGAGCTACACCTCGCCGTCTTTGGGGGGGGGGGGGGGGGAGGCGATTTGCAAAATTGTCGCCATGTTCGAGGGCTGCTGGTGGGCCCAGCGGGGTGAGGCACCGCGGGATTTGAGCGAGACATCCCCGTCCTTGGTGGGCTGCGATCTGCGAAACCGTCGCCACTTTCGAGGGCTGCTGGCGGGTCCAGCGAAGTGAGGCACCACGCAGATCTGAGCGAGACCTCGCTATCCCTGGGGGGCTGCGAGCCTCGCGAATGCCGCTCGCAGAATTACATGCGCTCATGTCACGTCATCACCTCTGTATAACGTGTCCCAGGCTACTCGTGCCCCGCATTGCGCAGGGGTTGGGTACGTCGCCAGGGTAATGCATGAGTATTGTTTGACTATGTTGTATTTGCCGCCCCAAATCCGACTGCAGGGGGACATGCCCGACTTAACACCAGCACTGAAATGCCTTACGCTTCGCGTATCCCCACCAGCGGTCCGTAGCCCCCTGGCTCAAGCCTGGTTCAAGATCCGACCACCCTCAAGCCGCGTGCCGCCAGGAGGCTTCTTCCTTCGCCCTGCTCCAGATTCTACCCCTGTTCCCGTCTTCCTGGCATGGCCGCAGGCGCCTGCAACCTGGCACGAACGCATCGATGGATGGACGATGGGCCTGCAAGCTGGGGCGCCGCCAGGAAGGCGGAGCCGCTGCAGAGCCAAGGTCAACGGTGGACTTCATTCGACGGAGGATGGTGGGAGACCCCATCGGCCCGACGCCGCCGGCAGAGGGTGGCGGCGGCAGCTCGACGGGGCGAAGCTACTCCGCTTCCTCTGGAGGCACTGGGCTCCGCTGGCGCCGCTGGTGCTGCGGCGCCCCTTGCTCTGGCGCCCCCTCTCGCTGGCCGCCTGGCGCTGCCTCCGCGGCCGCCGCTGGGTGGCGCCGCCGCTTCGCCCGCCGGCGCTGCCGCCTCGCCGGCTGGCAACGCCTCCGCGGTCGCCGCCCGCGCTGCCGCCGCCGTTGCTGGCTCCGCCGCGGCGGTTGCGGCTGCGGCGGCTGCCGGCGCCGCTGCTGCGGCTGGCGCCCCCCTCCCCGCGGGCGCCGCCTGCGCCGCGGGCGCCGACGCGGCCACGGCCTCCGCCGTGGCCGCTGCCGCGGACGCCGAAGCGCGGGCCGCCGCGGCCGCCAGCGCCGCAGACGCCGCGTGCGCCGTGGCCGCGGCTGCTGGCGCCGCGGTCGCCGCCGGTGCCGCCGGCGCCGTGGCCGCCGCCGGCACCGCCTGCGCTGCGGCGGCCGTTGACGCTTTTGGCGCTGCCGACGCCGCCGCTGGCGTTTCCCTCGGGCGGCCGCGGCGGCCGCCTGCGGCGCCACCGCCGCCGCCGGCGAGGCCGCGGCCGCCGCGGGCCTTTGGGAGGCCGTGGCGGCACTGGCCGGCGCCGCTGGTCTCGCCGCCGGGGCTGCCGGCAGCGGCGCCGTGGCCGCGGCGGCGGCTGCCGCGGCCGGCCGCGCGGCTACTGCGGCGCCATCCGCGCCTGGGCCCTGGGGCGCGGGGGCAGCGCCCGCGGCCTGCGCCGCCGCGGCCGCCCCCACGGCCGCCGGCGGCGCGGCCGCTGCACATGGTGCAGCTGCGGCGGCGGCCGCCGCCGCGGCCACCGGCGACCCCCGGCAGCGGCAGCTGCAGCCGCAGCAACAGCAGCAGCAGCAGCAGCAGCCGCAGCAGCAGGGCATCAGCAGCAGCAGCAGCAGCAACAGCCGCAGCAGCAGCAGCAGCAGCAGCAGCAACATAACCCAGCAGCTGCAGCAGCAGCAGCAGGGCAGCAGCCGCAGCAGCCACTGCAGCAGCAGCTGCAGCAGCAGCAGCAACAGAGCCCCGCAGCTGCAGCAGCAGCACCCCCCGCAGCAGCAACAAGAGCCACCCAGCGACCCCAAGAAGAACCCACGAGAAGACGCAGAGGCACCCGTGCTCCCTCAGCAGCAGCAGCAGCAGGGCAGAGAAAAGGAGAGGGAGGTCACGGCGGAGTCGGCGGAGGCTGCGGAAGCCGCGGAGTATCGGGGGCCCAAAGCGGCGGAAGCCTCGGAAGGTGCGGAAGTGGCACAAGCCTTCACTCGTGTCTCTGGATTAGAACCGGGTGGACGGGGGGTGGCCCCCGATAGTGCTGACGGTAGCCGCAACAGTCAGCCAAGCGAGATTCCGGGACAGCAGGGGCTCGCCTGCCACACCGCGCCACCCCCA